GTCATAACAAATCTAAAATGACAGTGATACATATAGGATCCCACTATTGATGGTAAGAATTAGCAGCAGGAGCAGTCTCTAACAGGGCACAATGAAGTAATTACGACAACTTGAGACGCCAGTTGTTGATAGTCTTCATATATTATTCAATTAACCATTTGTTACTTTGTCTGAGAAACAAAGCCATAAAACCAGAGACAATAATGAATTTCCACAGAACCTTCCTCTCACATAGCCTTCCCACAGAAATAATTATGTACACTCTGTATGCATGTAATAGACAGTGCTTGTAATGCTTGTAATACACGTGCTTATTGGTCTTTGTGCAACTGCACTGGGAGATATAAAGTCATTACTTTCACATCGGCCCGTTTCGGTTGGAGAAGGTTTTCTGAAATTTGAGATCACATTTTACGACAAATTCAGTTACTGTACAGCTTTTAAACTTATCGAGTCATAGCCAGGTCTCTGTAGAGAACAGATTATTTTACATAATTTTAGCCGACATTGTAACCCAACATTTGGCACCACGTTTGAAAAAGCTGTCAAAAACCGAGACGCACATTTTACCAATTTAACATCAGTTGCATCGTGTAACTTGACATGACATAAAATGAGCATTGATTTCCATTATTTCAATTTACAGCTATATCTTTGATGATTTGACTATTCCCGGCGTCACAAATTCATCTCGGTGATAGAGTGACCTTTATCAAGTCGTTAGAATACTCCCATACACGACATTTCTAATTGCACAGTAATTATTAAATCACACCAGAAGATATCCTTTAAAGCATGCATTGGACATCTTAGTAAAATGGCAGCCATGTTGGCTAAGTTTGATATATTTATCCCCATTTACTTTTAGTAATACGAAACATGTTGTGTTTTTTATTCCAAAAAACTTCACAAGCATTCAAGATGCGAACGCATATATGCATTGATTCCAGTAACTAAAGAACTGTCGGAAATGCTAGAAAAATGCTTTTCTGGCTTCATTTAATAAACACGAGTCACAGGACTATAAAAGGAGCGGCGAGTCTGAACAGGTATTGGCAACTACTTATTACAAGCTCACGTAATATAATAGCTGTGATCAGACACCTGTGATCAGTAAAGCAATACTTCAGGGATCCTTGACTTGATACATTCTTGTAATTTGACTCAAACCATTCTGAAGAGCATTATTCAAAATTCTACATCAAAATAATATTATTGTTTTTTTTGTTATTTAACGCCGCACTCAGTAATGTCAGCTAATGACGGCGGTATGTATTTAATCGAATCTTGACCAGAAAACCAAGTGAATGACATCATGAGCATCGATCTACGCAACTAGGATACAATGACAGGCACCAACCAAGTCAGCGAGTCTGACCACACGATCCCGTTAGTCGCTTCTTAAAACAAGAATGGATTGCTCAAGACCAATTCCAAATCGGATCTTTACAGGGCCCAAAGCTATATACAATTATAGGCTTCGATATTCATATTTTGTCCAAATGGGTATTTATACACGTGTCTCTGTTTCATGAAATGTAAGGAAAGATTGCAACAACTTAAATCAAAGTTATGAGTCAAGGGGTTTTCCCAAAGTGTAAACATGCACTGTTCTAACACTTGCAACCGTCGTGTGTGAAGGTGTCAAGGTAACTAAGAACTTACACAAGAAAATCAGACCAATTGATTCAAGCTCGGTCATGTTTGACTTCCATGGCAATCGATCACGCCACTTGTACTATTTAAGAAATGATACTAAACTTCCCTAAGGCGTGCTAGAAACATGCTCATCGTTTCGAATCCCAATATTCACCCTGATTGTGATTCCATGTTTGCCATTGGTTTGCCAAAGAGATAAATGTCTAAGAAAGCACCACCTCGTTCCACCCTCCCACACCAAACTGACACGTCCTGATCTAACTGAAATACTGTTAAAAGAGGCGTTGAACATAAATTTACTATGTATGCACTATGACAAACCTAGGTCCATGATATGAACATAGGTTCAGTGTACGACAAGACAAACACTTTCACGTTTGAGGATTTCACGGCTTGTGATAACTACGTACGTGCTTAAGCTAACCAAAGTGGGAACAAGGTCTGTTCTGTTTGTTTTATTTTGAGAGTCTTGAAGTGCTGACCTGAATAATTGCATATAAAGTAAGCGCAGGCCGTTTGACTTGGTCCTATCACCAGCGTTTCTTTCCAACTAGCTACGCCCCTCCTTGCAAATGAAACATAATGCAAGGGATATTATGGGATCTGAACACATTTTTAATGTTAAATTCAATTGAAGTGTCAGTGCCAAAGCAAGTGAACATTCATGAAAAGTGAGATAAGGCCAATTCATTCATTCACTCACTCGAAACAATTAACAAATTAACATTTGTGTGTGATATCTACACATGTGCTATGAAACACGTCTGTGGCTGTTATGGGCATATCGTGCTCGCTGTCAGAATCATGCAAAACATGTTATTGTGGATTTTGTCTGCCTACCTTTGAACAGCTGTGTCATTAAACGCTTCCAAGAAAGCATTCGCCTAAAGCTCAGATCAACACTTGTGCATAGATTGCGGAGTCTCAATACTAGGCGACAGAACTATTACGCAGAACATATATAGTGCATCTGAAACGGATCCAGTAGGATTACACACAGATTCCAGAGCTGAAATCGATAATGTGTCCCTCGTTCAGGACAGGACTGAAGACACCCTCATGTTTGCTTGTGGTAAATGATGGAGTAGCCTAGCGGTTAAAGCGTTCGTTCGTCACGCTGAAGGACTTCACACATTCTGCCCATGTGGGGAATCTGTCTGTAAATAACCGAATGTGGGCCAGACAATCCAGTGATTGATATTATGAACATCAATCCACGCAGTTGGGATACGATGACAGACATCAACCAAGTCAGCGAGCCTGACCAACTGATCCCGTTAGTCGCCTGTTACAGTAAGCATAGGCTGAAGACCTATTCTACCCGGGATCTTCACGGGCTAACGCTATAAAAACGGCATAGCTGCGTATCAGTTAATTATATATGGCATACAGTGGTGTTGAGAGCGAGGTGTAGACACACTAGTTTGTTTGTCTGTTATTTAACGCCGCACTCAGCAATATTCCAGCTATATAAATAATCGAGTCTGGACCAGACAATCCAGTGATTGACAACATGCGCATCGATCCACAGAGTTTTGATCGATGACATGCTTCAACCAAGTCAGCGAGCCTGACCACCAAATCCCGTAAGTCGCCTCTTACGACAAGCATAGTCGCCTTTTACGGGTTGCTGAAGACTTATTCTACCCCAGCATCAATCTACGCAATTGGGATACGATGACATGCTTCAACCAAGTCAGCAAGCCTGACCACCAGATCCCTTTAGTCGCCTCTTACGACAAGCATAGTCATTTTTTACGGCAAGCATGGGCTCCTGAAGACATATTCTACCCCGGATCTTCACGGGCCATAGACACACTGACCTGGAAGGGTTGGATTCTCCATACTAACCTGCAAGGGTTTGATTCTCCACACTGACCTGCAAGGGTTTGATTCTCCACACTAACCTGCAAGGGTTTGATTCTCCATACTAACCTGCAAGGGTTTGATTCTCCATACTAACCTGCAAGTGTTTGATTCTCCATACTAACCTGCAAGAGTTTGATTCTCCACACTAACCAAGCCGGGTTTTATTTTCCACACTGACCTGGAAAGGTTTGATTCTTCACACTAATCAGCAAGGGTTTGATTCTCAACACTGACCTTCAAGGGTTTGATTCTTCACACAAACCAAGGAGGGTTTTATTTCCCACACTGACCTGGTGAGGGTTGATTCTCCACGCTGACCTGGAAAGGTTTGATTCTCAACACTGACCTGCAAGGGTTTGATTCTCCACACTGACCTGCAAGGGTTTGATTCTCCACACTGACCTGCAAGGGTTTGATTCTCCACACTGACCTGCAAGGGTTTGATTCTCCATACTGACCTGCAAGGGTTTGATTCTTCACACTAACCTGCAAGGGTTTGATTCTCCACACTTACCTGCAAGGGTTTGATTCTCCATATTTGCAAGAATATCTGTTGTCCGCCTATGTTATAAACTCCGGCGTAAAACCCTATTCACACATTCACTCACATATGACATTTAAACAAGTCATGCATCATGTGGACACGGTCAAAACATTATGAAAAAAATATGCTTCCGAAGGATTAGGTCGACATGCAATTATAGTACATCAAAGACTGAGAAAATATGATAAAATGGGAGTACTTTGGACTAAAATGTAAAATGTCCAATCTGTATTTAAACTTAAGACAAAGAATACAAAAAATGCATTCAAACGGAGAAAAGCAAAAATTGCAAGATAAAATGTGTTTCACAATAAATTGCACATTTTCTTTAATTACGCGGTTGGTAGACTAACGTCCTTTGCCTTTGCTCTGAGTGTATGAATCTGAACTTTGTCGTCTCCGAAATTTTCAGGATTAATGCTCCGAAATCAACTTTGATTTGTTGGCTCATCATCTAATCACGAATTTAATTTTGAATTCCGGTTTGTCTCCGGTTTGAATGAAGTATCAGAGATATCACATGACCTTTCATCTGATATTGCGTCAGTAGAAATATTTGGCATTGTTTCTTCCAAAACACATGACATTCCATGCAGTTATGAACTTTGCACGAAATTATGAACGTGTTGGTGTATTTTTCTTTGAATTTTTTTAAAAGAGCAAGAATGACAGAAACCTTCTTTGTTTTAGTTGGAAGTCAAAATTGAAATATCCGATCTGTCGTTTGAGTAAAGTTGGCAACAAATCAATTCAACAAGCAATATGAACGTCGCCAGTGTCAACATATTCCATCCACAGGAAATAGATTTGGTTTTCTTTCCATAAACATTTTCTATAACCATAAAAGTAAAAAAAAATGTTTTCGATGCCGTTTATCATAATCTTGCATGCAACGTCGCTCCTAACGACTTGATGAAATTATTTTCAGACATAATGGATGTTACGCTGCTGCGTTGAGGGCAGTGAGAGAGATGCGAGTCGAGAGGCCTGCTTCGTGATATTGATAAGAGAGAGGCTTGAGAAGACGGCACGAATCGCTTCTTCTCAGTGGCGTCCTGCTCAACGGAGAGGTGAGGACACTTTGCAGAAAGGTAAGATGATTATACTACTTAATACTTAAGTTGTCATCACTGTTGATATATACAAACGTGATACACTGTGAATTGCTAAGTAAGGCTATATTGTTGGGAAACATAGTTCAAGAGTTACATGTGGAGAAATTGTTTGCAACAGAAAACACGTGTTAAAGGTGAAAATGCACCTATTAGTTGTAATTACTATAGTAATATACATGTGAATGAAAATCCGGGGTAGAATAGTCTTCAGCAACCCATGCTTGTCGTAAGTGCCGACAAACGGGATCGGGTGGTCAGGCTCGCTGACTTGGTTAATGCATGTCATCGATCCAAATTGCGTGGATTGCACATGATGTCAGTCACTGGATTGTCTGGTCCAGACTCTGTTTACAGACCGCCGTCACAGAGCCGGAATGTAGCTGAGTTTAACAACAAATAAACAAACATCAGAAATCTCAGAATTGTGCAACAGAAAAACAGAGGAGTCGTCTTTGAAAATTCAAGTTAGATGCACGACGAATAACGTGTAAACGTAAACACTATGCCTCGCATCGAAAATGTGTTGCATACAAAAAACGCCAGAGATATCATGTTCATATTGCCAGATTGTGGACTGAAGTGGAATGTCCACTCTCATGGTTTGATGCTCATGATGTCAATCACTGGATTGTCTGGTCCAGACTCGATTAGTTTTTACAGACCGTCGTCATACAGCTGGAATATTGCTGAGTGCGGCGTTAAACAAAAAAACAATCTTAAGATAGAAGCTGATAACTATTCGATGCAGTGCGTCGATAAAGTCTAGATTGATAGCTACACAGAGTACCGAGGAAACGTTAATGCTTCACAGCAAAGTGTTACTCATTATCTCATTACCTCGCTTACATGGTTGCTACAACACACTAACCAGCCCACGTTGGTAACATAATCTGGTTCAGGACCGAGACATTGAGATATATGGAAAAATATGGTAATTTTCCGAACATTTAGGAGCGTATGAAACATGGAATACTTGTAAAAATATAATGTCGGTGAAAGAAGAATAACCAGTTTATTCGCCGAAACAGAGCCGTGAAAATGTTATTAATGGATAAAATTTGTGTCACATTTGTAAAGCATATATACGATAATTGTTCACGCCAGAAAATATATGAAAACAATGACCATATTTACACACCGATGTAATATATGTTCATGGTCACATTAATATTCTTTTATGAAATACTTGTGTACACGGATATATAGATGTGATCACGTCACCTTAACGGCTAAGTACACCGTCGCACAGAAGCTAGATCAAGCTATATTCGCCGATAGATATATTCGCCGATTGATAAGCCTGCAACTATTTTATGTTCCCGCCATGCTCATCATTATTTTCGGTTGTTCAACGCGTATGTCATGCTACATCTTGGCGATTATGGAAACTCTAAAGCTGTGGCAAGGCGATGCCTTGTATGAAACTCAGAGGCGACAATATTCCACGGACTCGGACAAACAGAAGCGTGCCTAGTTCGCAGCTTTCATTGCCTGTTGACGTGGGTTTGGTGGACGTGGGCGTATGGTGAAAAAAATCAATGTGTTGTCGCTAGTGCCCACGTTCACGACGCTACCCCGACTGTGATGGAACACTGTCGTTCATGTAAACGTACACGACACTAGAACAAGTATCCACACACACACACACACACACACGCGCACGAACACACACACACACACACACACACAGCACGTCGCTATAAAAGTGCAATAAGCTTGGACGCAACGCTAAACCCCATTTCATCTCACCTCACCTGTAATTGGATTGAATATATTCAGTGTTCATTAAGAAATAACTTTTCATAAATACTTAAACGTCGCCAGGTGGTTTAGGGGCGTCGAGTTAGGCAAGTGGTTAGTGTGTTTGCCCGTCACACAGGGCTGGTGTTTGTTTCTTCCGCGGGTACGTGTGTGATTTGCATCCCCACTGTCCTTATATGTAACCGACCACGATATTGATAATCGTGACTTTGGCAAATGCTCGTTCCCGATCGGTCAATCAGAGGTTACAAATCACAAAAGGACCCGTGACGATCCGGGCTAGAATAGGTCTTCAGCAACCCACGCCTGCCCTAAAAGGCGACTCTCCTTGTCGTAAAAGGTGTCTAACGGGATCGGGTGGTCAGGCTCGCTGACTTGGCTGATGCATGTCATCTATGCCAATTGCGTGGATCGTTGCTCATGATATTAATCACTGGATTCTCTGGTCAAGACTCGACCGCCGTCATATATAGCTGGAATAATGCTGTGTGCGGCGTTAAACAACAAAAATACAAAACACAATTGTATGGAGCGATGCTCATGATATGAATCACTGGATTTTCTGGTCCAGACTAGATTATTTACAGACCGCCGTCATATAGCCGGACTATTGCTGAGTGCGGCGTTAAACAACATTCAAACTAACAAATAATATAATAGCATCCTCTAACTGAAACAGATGGTCATAACGGAAATCTATGTTCATAGGAAAGTCCTCCTTTCACAATCATTGTCGACATGCAATTTTTAATGATAATATACTATAAGGAAGAGAATTTATGGATGTCAATATTGCTGAGTGCGGCGTAAAACAACAAACCAAACCAAACCAAATCACCTGATGAAGGAGTAAGCAGTTACTCCGAAACGTTGTGTTCCTCATAATAAAGAAGTTGACATCCATAAATTCTCTTCCTTTTGTGCATCACTTATAAATGCCTTTCAAAGACTTGATCATATACAACTACTCAAAGGAACCTAAGAAAACATCCGATTCTTACAGATAGCTGTAGTTAATTTGTGGCAGTATGAAAGAAACATCTTTTGAGTAGTATATGAACAAACGCATGTGTTCACTCCGTGGGTGTATGAATGTAACTATTATGTAATGTATTGAGCCCACATTAGACATGTACGAATATCCGTTCTTGTAGCCTAGTGGTTAAAACGTTCGCTCGTCACGCCGAAGACCCGGGTTCGATTCCCGACATGGGTACAACGTGTGCAGCCCATTTCTGGTGTCCCCCGCCGTGATATTGCTGGAATATTGCTAAAAGCGGTGTAAACCCATACTCACCCGCTCACTCACAACGTTCTTGATTTAACTTTTAAAAAGTTATTTTAACAATCTCAACTTTTATACATTTCTGGAAGAAAGTATGTATGTCGTCGTGCTTTCAGTTGCAGTGGACCCCTTTTTCACAAACGACCAAAATACACATTTTGCTACAGAGGCATGGTATCATTTAACGTGTCGGCGTCGATGCATTAAGTATTGATACTGATATCCAGGAGTTCCACATATATAGATCGTCATCATTAGGACATATCCTAATTCCATATCCCAATCTCCGACTTTCGACGTCTTCTTCTTTGTCAACCGATGTACAGAGGACGTTTCAATCAATTTCCATCGCGCAGCACTCATTTATTGACATCGTCTCTGAAGACCAAGACGTCGTGGGACGAAGTTAGAATGTAGTGGCGTCATCTATAACTGGCTTGTGAAGCCGTTCACATGCATGTTTGCATGGGAAGCATCATCCTTTTAATGGAGATAATTTACTTGCCGTTTACTAGAACCCACCGCACGCAGCTTGGACATTTGCCTTGAGTCTGTGAGTCTGACTGAGAACATTTAAGAGCACTCTTATACAGAACAACACACCTCACTGCCTTGCATGCTTCCGTAATGAGACTTATGGAGTAATAAAAATACCTTCATGAAAGAACGGTGGTGTGATGCCTGCTGAAATGTTAACACATTTCTATGAACCACACTGACATTTGTGAGATGTCAATAGGTTTGGTTTAACGCAGCTCTGAACACTATTTCTGTTGTATGAGTGAGTGAGTTTTAAACACGCCGATTTGAACAGTATTCCAGTTATTTCACAGCGTGTCAGCTAAATGAGGGAGGAAAGGCCGAGGTGATGCAGGTCTCAGACGTTTACCACTTTTGGTGAAACCCATAAGCACAGGTATGGTGCTGACAAACTTAGAATCATAATAAGGGCGAACCGGATGCGAAAAAAGAATCAGTGGTTTTCGGCGTGCCAAAGGGACGCAACTCCGCACATCGAACACTTTTTTGAGGAAACTCACGAGCAAAGGTAGGGTTCAAGCACATTTTTAATCAGGACGGATTCGGGATTCGAACACACTATCATAGGTTTCTTGCACACCCAAGGGAGGCAACTCTACGCAGCCCCTGTAAGATTATGCTGCCAATATGAGCAAAGATATCTGATTGTGCTTTCCATGGTTGTGGTTCCATTGTTTTGATTATTTTCACAGCAGTGACTCCGTTTGTTTGTTGTTTAACGCCAAACTCGGACCGGGATCTACACGTGCTAACACTATAAAAACGGCATAGCAGCGTATCAGTAAATTATATTTGGCATACAGTGGTGTTGAGAGCGAGGTGTAGACACACTAGTTTGTTTGTCTGTTATTTAACGCAGCAAACAGCAATATTCCAGCTACATGACGGCGGTCCGTTAAATAATCGAGTCTGTACCAGACAATCCAATGATTGACATCATGAGCATCGATCCACGCAATTGGAATACGATGACATGCTCTAACCAGGTCAGCGATCCTGACAACCCGATCCCGTTAGTCGCCTCTTACGCCAAGCATGGTCCCCTTTTGAAGCAAGCATGGGTTGCTTGTCGTAAGAGGCGACTTACGGTATCGGGTGGTCAGGCTTGCTGACTTGGTTGATGCATGTTGTCGATCCCAATTGCATGGATCGATGCTCATGATGTCAATCCCTGGATTGTCCTGTCCAGACTCGATTATTTACAGACCGCCGTCATGTTGCAGGAATATTGCTGCGTGCGGCGTTAAACAGCAAAAAAACAGTTACCTCCATTCGAAGTTATTTTATCAGATATCAGTAAACAGTATATGTTATAATGGTATAGTCGTACTTCCGAAAGAATTTCTTGGAATATTGTACAAGTGAATGCATTACAAAACCATTTTATTAA